TTGTAGTGGTAATTATTGCTATTTTAGTGGTTGTAGTACTAAAGCAATGATAGTGATACAAATGTAAGTATTAAAAGTGTAATCAAAGAAGTATATTTCATGTAGTTTGCTGTTGATACTGTAGCAGTTATATTGATAGTATTGAAAGACTAGTGGAAATGTTAGCTGTGAATACTTCAGCATTGATAGTTTGGATTGTTTGTTTTGTCACCTGGACACTGTAAAGGTTACATGGCAACTTTCCAGCGTAAAATGGTAAAGGAAGACCATCATGCACTATTTCTGGCACATTTGGGACACCTAAGTAGAACCACCATCCTAGTTGTATACTTTCTCAAATGAAAGAATATAAAGTTCCATATGTAATTTGAACCCACAGTTGTGAGGTTGAAGTGTTTTGAAGCTGGCCATCTTAACCAATTTACTATGGGATCCCCTAGAAGTGATAATAATAGTAGTGTTACACTTGTGTTAGCTGTTGATACTAGCAATGACAGTTTTTGTAGAGTTAGACTTGAAGAATTTTTAGCTGTTGATACTGCTACAGTGATTTCTTTCAGTTAGAATTGTGGAATTGTGAGCTGGAATTGTAGCAGTGACAGTGATTGTACAGTTGGACTTGTGCAATTGTTAGCTGTTGATACTGTAGCAGTGGCAGTGATTGTAGTGTTACACTTGCGGAATAGTTGCATGTTGATACTGTAGCAGTGATAGTGATTGTAGAGTTGGACTTGTGGCATTGTTAGCTGTTGATAATGTAGCAGTGATAGTGATTGTAGTGTTAGACTTGCGGAATAGTTGCACGTTGATAATGTAGCAGTGATGGTGATTGTAGAGTTGGACTTGTGGCATTGTTAGCTGTTGATAATGTAGCAGTGGCAGCGATTGTAGAGTTGGACTTGTGGAATTATAAGCTGTTGATACTGTAGCAGTGGCAGCGATTGTAGAGTTGGACTTGTGGAATTGTTAGCTGTTGATACTGAAGCAGTGACAATGATTGAAGAATTGGACTTGTGGAATTGTAAGCTGTTGATACTGTAGCAGTGACAGTGATTGTAGAGTTGAACTTGTGGAATTGTTAGCTGTTGATACTGTAGCAGTGGCAGTGATTGTAGTGTTGGACTTGCGGAATAGTTGCATGTTGATCCTGAAGCAGTGACAATGATTGTAGAGTTGGAATTGTGGAATTGTAAGCTGTTGATACTGTAGCAGTAACAGTGATTGTAGAGTTGGACTTGTGCAATTGATAGCTGTTGATACTGTAGCAGTGGCAGTGAATGTAGAGTTGAACTTGTGGAATTGTTGCATGTTGATACTGTAGCAGTGACATTGATTGTACAGTTGGACTTGTGCAATTGTTAGCTGTTGATACTGTAGCAGTGACAGTGATTGTAGAGTTGGACTTGTGGAATAATTGCATGTTGATACAGTTGCAGTTGCAGTGACAGTGATTGTTATTTGGTTTTACATTAGAATTGAAGAACATAATTCCTTCTAGTATCTGTTTTAGTGATTATCTTATGGTAATCAACTAAAACTTCTGTTTGTGATCACAATTACACAAAAAATCCATTATTTTAGAAACTGAATGCAATAATAAATATGTAGAAACCTAAATTAGTCTTAGAATCTTATAAACTTTAATATTATTTTCCTTTAAGATGAAAGTATCTGGTAAATATGGTCGAATGTCGCTTATTTATCAGGCAAGTTTTAAATGACCATTTACTGCGAAAAAGGTCCAAGTGAATTTTTTTTTTAAATTTATATTATTTTCTGTCCAATTCAATATTCAGAATAGTAAGTAATGATTATACTTATTCTGTATTGAGCATTTCTGTCAAAATAGGGTGTTTATTTCCTGTTTTCGGTCACTTAGACTTTTTTCGCAGTTACCAGATATGTGATATTTTGACAAATATTGAGTGCGAAAAAAGTCTAAGTACATTTTTACAAATATAATCTTTTTCTTTCATTTTTTTTTTCAAGAAATTTTTTTTAATGTACAATATAACTGATTTTCATTTCAGAGTACACAAATTATTATTATATATATAACCTGAAAAAAACAGGACAGTTTTTTGTCTCTCCTGAAAAATTTACAGATATGCACTTAGACTTCTTTCGCTTTCACCCCTCGACATGCTGACCACTTTCAGGCCTGCAAGTGAAATACTTTTTGAGCTTTGCATGAACAAGTTGAAAATTGCAAATTTATACTACTGTAAGTCAAAGGGAAATAACTTTACAAATACTGGATAAATCCACAAGCGAAACCCCAGGTGCAAAACTTAATATGCTGAGCAACCTTCCCATAAGGTTTAATGACTCTATGTCAAATCCTTTTTGAGTTACATGCGACACAAGTTGAAAGTTGCAAAAATATCTTAGTAAGGGGCAATAACTCTAAAAATACTAAATAAATCCAGACGAAAATACCCAGGTGCACAACTATACATGCTGATCAATATTCCTGTAAAGTTTCATGACTCTATGTAAAATCCTTTTTGAGTTACATGTGACACAAGTTGAAAATTGCAAAATTTTACTAAGTCAAGGGCAATAACTCTAAAAATACTAAAAATATCCAGACTAAAATACCAGGTGCACAACTACACATGCTGATTAACATTCCTGTAAAGTTTCATGACTCTAGGTCAAATACTTTTTTAGTTACATGCGACACAAAAGAGAACGGAAGGACGGACGGACAGAAGGACGGACAAAGGTAAATCTAAATGCCCACCACTAAAGTGGGGGCATAAAAATGTCAACAGGCAGTATAAGTCGTGTGTAAAGTGCTAAACACACAGCATGTGAACTGAAGCGGGAAATCAGTGGTTACAATTTGACAGCGCTAAAAATAGCTCCACACAACTGATAAGAATTACTTGAAGTGTCAATTATTGCTGGGACATAAGCTTATGTCCCATATTATTGATTTCTTATTTATAATACGTCTTTGTTTTACTTGGAGTACCCACAGACACTTGTTTAGAAGCGAATATAGGGCATTTATAATGACATTACTCCAGTATTTACTATTAAATAACGTGTTATTTAATAGTATATACTGGAGTAATGTCATTATAAATGCCCTATATTCGCTTCTAAACAAGTGTCTGTGGGAGTACCTGTACATTTTTTACTTCTTTTTCCATTAAATATTCCTAGTACATTTTGGTATTTAAAATTGATATGATATAGCATACCAGAAAAGATAATTTTTTATACTTTATACATTTAATCATAAAAGCTGTTTTATTTGTTTTTTGTGCATGTTTTCTTTTCTTTCTTTCTTTTTTTTGGGGGGGATATAGACATTTATTACTCCAATACAGTAATTTATTGTAACTTAAAAATGATTCATGTAGTCAAATGACACTAGAAAATAATAATTTGACTCGTGAAAATTTTGGCCAAAGAGTCCGACTCATGAAATTCTGACCCTCCAGAGATTCCTGGGCTTCAACACCTTACAGATACAGAGTCTTACATAATTTTAAAAAAAAATCTTACTGTTGTTAAAAAATTTAATCATCAAAGTAGAGGTTTAGTCGGATTCGGATGCTGAATCACTCAAAGCCCACTCTGGAGCAGAATACGACATGTCAAGAAATCTCTGTGAAACAAATCCATATTTAACTCTTCTGTACAAGTCGTGGAATTCTTCACCCCATTCTACTCGAGCATTTTCATATATATCAGTCCATTCACGGAAATTCCTTCTCCAAGCAGGAGAAAAGTAGAAGGTTTTCAAGTAAGGACAAGAAGATATCACATACAGAACTTCTGATGGCTTTAAGTATGCTGTGCCTTCAAAGTCAATATATACCAGGTTTGCCAACCCACTTAGTAGTTTAAGAATTGAAGTGGTCTCATTTACGAGTTCCTTGTTTTCCTTTATTTTCAAAAATTTGAGACTTAGTAGTTGAGACTGTGGTTGCTGAAGGTTTGCTAAACTAAATTTGATGCCAGTCAGATCTAAATGTATAATGTGTAATTTGTTGTGTTTGTTTTTTTTTCCTTTTCCTAATTCTCTATCTCGCAATTGGCGCACTAGCGCAGACGACATATTTGCTGAATCAACTGGACGACTGTGCAGTAAATTCAAGCGCTCCGGAAACACGGACGTGCTTATTATTTTTTTGTTCGTTTTCATTGTTAATTTCAAGCGAGGTTTCAAAGCCATTTGCCATATAAAAAGCTGAATTTGATTTGTAAAATGTTCAAAATACCAAGATACCTTGTTAAAACCATCCTCGGTGGAAGAAAACATCAATAATCCAAACCAGGAAATGGATGTTGCTTCGGCGGCAGCCATATTGTTCAATATCGATTACTTCCCTTAGCGGTATGGACTAAATCCCGGACTATTCCCGTATTTTACCGGACGGAGCAAATTCCCGGCGTTTTCACGACCGGGAGTCGCGATTTTGAAAATCACGGACTTTTCCCGTTTTCCCGGTAGCGTGGGAACCCTGATTTTAAGAACATTATAATATTTGAAGTATGAAGTTGATCTCTTAAGAAATAAAGAATTAACAGTAAAATATAATGTTTTTTAAGGAAAATTCTAAGTTCAAGAGGATATAAATCTGAAAATATTGGTGCTAGAATTATGAACCTTGTCACATAAGATGTGGTTAATGATAAGGAACATATATTTTAAGTATGAAGTTAATCCCTTAAGAAATATTAAGAAGTTACAGTAAAAAATAATATTTTTAAGGAAAATTCTAAGTTCAAGGGGAAGTTAATCTGAAAATATTGGTGCTAGATTTATGAACCTGTCACATAAGATGGCAGCATATATTTTAAGTTTGAAGTTGATACCTTAAGAAATGAAAAGGTTAAAAAAATCTAATCTGAAATCTGGACACAGATGCCGGGTCGAGTAGGACAGCTCTCCATATACTCCTTATAGTTGTGCTAAAAAAGACTGTATTCATAAACCATTTTAATACATACTTGTATTCATAAACCATTTTAATACATACTGGATGTGCAAACTTCAACTGATTTCTTCCAAGCTGCATGGTACATGACCTCATATTCTAACAACACTTTGGCAATTCTATTGTAGTTTCTGACTATTTTCTTTGCCTCCTCGCCTTTGAAACATGATGAATGTGCCTGAAAATATACTCTAAGGTCTTCAGATCAGATTATTTGCAGCTTAATGAGTTCACAATAATTCCAATCTAGTACAAGTTGTAAAGTTTGCTGACTCCAGCTCTACCATTTTTAAAGCTACATGTGAAAATTTCGTAAGGATGTAAGAACACGCATACATTCTAGAGACTGTACATATGTGGCTACTCTATTTTTCTTTTTATTGTTCTTTTTAGCCACATAAAAAAAGCCATACAAAACCCTTACCAAATGAATGGCATCAATGAGAAAGAACAGTTACCTATTGTTCCTCTCCCCACGAATGTATTCAACTGACAACCTAAGGTCTTTCCTTACCTAAAATTAATAGTGTGTCATACAAATTTCATAATAAAAACCTTAAAGCTTGCTGCATTTAGGTTTGACAATTAACATTAGAAAGGATGCTACATACTAGAAAGTCAGCTTACTTACCCTGAAGATTTCCATAGGATCAAAGATTCTCTGTCCTAACTGCCTAACCCATGTTATTCTGCCAGATACTGGTGGCATGTTCCTTGGTATTGGTGGATCCTCCTTAAACTTTTGGTACAGCTATAACAACATCAAGAACAGATTGTTTTATGTCAATATTAATGCCAGGAGCTTTCTTTAAATTTAAGTACTATTCATGTCTTCTATTATCAAAAGTTAACAAAAAAAACATCAAAGAGAAATAAAAACAACAATGCAGAAACAAAATATTTTTAAGCATAACCAAACAATTAAAAGACTAACTGATATGACACCTGAAAAAATAAAGTGTTATATGGCCAAGGCATAGATTTTTCCATGTGATCATCCTTAATCACTTTTATAATTAGATTAAATAAAAAGTTTGCAATAGGTTCTAGATGCAGGAAAAATGTAAGAGCTTGAACAGAATCTAAAAACTATAAGAACTTTTACATTTTTACATGACATAAATTCAGTAAAACTGGTGTTGAACTTAAGGTATCTTTCATTACCTTCCCAATTTCTTCAACTTCCTCTCCATATTGTAAGAAAATTGAGGAGTATTTCTGTTCTATGTTCAGTCTTGGTATGTTCAACTTTTCAAACCTGCAAACAAAATGAGGAATGTCTGAGAGAAGAAACATTTAAATGGTCTTGACTCCTTTAAGTCTTACAGTATTGGAACTCTGTAATAATATTACCTTTTTTTCTATATTGTGTCAAACAATAATTTAAGGCAGGGCCAAAAAACCCTTCTTTGTAGAGGTCGAATATAGGCTGCTTCCCCAACCAAACAAGCCTCTTTTTTTTCCCCAGTTTGATCCTCAAAATTCCCCAGTCTTTTGAAATTTCCCAAAGAATTTAGAACAAAATTAAATGATGGTGTTGAATTAAGGCCTTTTACTGTCATATCTAGCTCACTTTTTTCCCCGAGAATGCATCATAAGATATATTCTGTTAACATGAGTTGTAAGTTTACCATAAAGCTATAGTAAATATAATATAATTACAATCAAAATTAGAAACGGGTTATAATTGAAATAGTGCATTTCCAAAATAGACTTCTGATTTATCAACCATCAAGTTGAAAATATTTCTCTCTTAGAGGTATTCCACTGAAGGCTTTTTGACATGAAGGACTGGAAATATTTTTTAGATTTTTTATGCCATTTGATGTAGGTCTATACCAATAACTTGTGTACAAAATTTTCTGTTTTTCAAGAATACTGATTTGATTGTGCAAAATAATCTGAAGCTAAGAATTACACAAAATATTGACTTTTCATTTTAATTCTTAGTACATTTCTTTATCCTCCTCTTCATTTTTTTCTGTTTCCAGTGCCCCAGTTGTTCTATATAAAATTTTCAAATTTAACATATTTAGGCATTTGGTCTTAAGTGCAGCTCTTTTAAAAATGCCAATCAAATTACCGTAAGTGCAATAATAAATGCTGTTAATTTGTATTTCAAAACAGCAAATTTTATGACATCTTAATATTATATGAGCATTCATATTAAATAGTATCATACTTTAAATCACAAACTTGGGAAAGAACACGAGTCACTTAATACTGTAAATAGTAAATTCAAGTGAATACCATATTAACAGAATATGGGTATGATCTCAATAAGTGTTAGGTATCGGACTAAAAAATCACTATAGATTATCGGACCACCACAATCGATTGTCTGCCGAGATAATAATCGAGTTTCGCACTTATTATGGCCGTTGCTTTTAAGACTCCAATCCTTGTAAACAGTAATAGTTGTAATTCAAAACAAACAACACAAACACTTAATACAACTTTATGAAGGATCAAACCCGATTATTCAAGGGTCAGCATATTTTGAGCATTATTGATCTAGATTTATACAGTTTATTTAACAACTTTTGTATCAACAACATGACTGTATAAAACATATTTCAAAATGAAAAGTACGCAATTGTGAAATTTTGTTGTTTTTATTTATTTATTTATCTTATTTTTTTTACAAATTAAAACATATTTAACAGTCAAACCTTTGAGGCTGAGCTTTGTGCCCTTTGTTTTGCTTCTTGAATAATAAAATTGATAAGCATCTAGCATTTGCTAACTCCGAGTGATCTGGATTTTTGTTTTGATGTCTATCAAGAAGTGCAGTTCTTATTTGCTTCACGATGACATGTACAAAATAATTTACGTTGTCCATCAATAACTTTCAATTCCAACCATTTAAATTGTTCTAATCAAGTTTTCATGAATGTTTTTTTTTGTTTGTTTTTTTGAGAATGTTTAGTTCCAGAAAATCCTAGGTCAAACAGGCTTTTTTTAGCAATAGCCTAATGAATTGCTAGTCAACAGCACATCCTAGATGGGACTCGGTGATGTAAACGCTAAATGGACATCAATTCAAATTAGTCAAAATATATTGATGTGCCAAAAAGCTTGATTCTGAGATATTTTCGTTCTGGGGCAGATTCTCGCTTTAAGAGGCTACAGTAGACGCAGCTAACTGCTTTGTTGATCAGCACTTATTGATTGACAAACAGTAAAAGTTCCATGCATCCATCAGAAATTATCACGGGTCAAAAATGGCACCCGAGCTGATGATTTTTTCAAACGATTGCAATTCAGAATTTTCACAGGTCAAGAACACTTGAATAATCAATTGTTAAAAAGGACTATCGATTGTCGTCGACTTCGGGGTGGTCCGATTAGTTTTCAATTTTCAGCGACAATCAGGACAACACTTATATCAATGCATAATATTATCATATAAGTGAATTATTCCATACTTTTCCAGAAGCTGTAGAGCTTGCAATGTTGATGGTATTTTCATGAAACTCTTGTTTGTAAACTTCTCAATTCCAATCTGAAAAAGGTGTAGAGATATATAATAGTGTAAATTTGTAATAGACACATTTAACAGAATGATCCTCATATATAAAACCAGCTGAAATTTGTCTCTCTTTTCATGTAGTTTTTTATTTGTGTACAATGGTCTATTTTCTATGAATAGTAATATATATGTAGAGCTGTCATTGATTCAGTGCAAACCATACCAAAGATATATCAATTTTGGATGACAAATATAGACGACTCAAACTTACAAAACTTAGCATAGCTTTAGAAATGAACACCTGTCCCTGTATATGTTTTGGGTGATAGTTATAGTTATAGATATAGTTAAATCCTGTAAAGGTTACATCAAGTTTTAAACATCATTGCAGCTGGCTTAAGTCAACATTTTGCAAAACTAGGCACTTTTCCACCATCTTACTTAATGTTCTCGTAACATACTTAAGTATAGAAAGAAGTGCATTAATTTTTTTTTAAAAAGGCCTCAGAGCAACAGATAAGCTTTAAAAGTGAATTGGGTATTACTCCATCATTCCTTTGGAATTTGGTATTGGCTCCATTTAATTGGGTATTCAAAAACTCGATACCCTATGATTTCAAGATCAATTGGGTATTCAATTATGAAGATATGTATTTTATGGTTTCAATATCAATAAAAATTAAATTTAGATATCTTAACTGTTTTAAAAAGAAAATAGGATGAACAATTTACTAGAACTTTTCACAATTGTTTTATTTTTATATAAAACGCTCCTGTTATATTTCATAATATTTTTCACAAGTTCGTTGTCTGACTGATTTTTGATTATTTGCGACTGTTTTGTTTCAAATCATTTTCCCTTTTGTACGACGCCATATTGCTTTTCAAAGCGTCTATTGTTACAGCTGGACCTACTTATTGACGGTCTCCGCAAAATCAACGGTCTCTGCCGTTCTGTAAAGACCGTCAACCCTAGTAGACAAATCGACGGTCTCATGCTTAGTCGGTCTTTGGAGACCGGGGACCGTCGAAGACCGGAGACCGTTGATTAGTTGGCATTGATTCGGGAATATTCGGATATCATGCATATCGATATAATTTGTCCAAAACTACGAGTGTACGAGAGATTAATTTTGCGGTGATGAAAATGACAATACGCACGGGTCTTTAAGACCATTGCGTATTTTAATTTTTTTAATGGGTTTTGATACGCATTCCTAAAAAATCAATTGCGTATTTTATAAAATTTATTGCGTAAATACGCAAATACGCGCCTTATCTGTTGCTCTGAGGCCTTTTTTCCATTTGACAGCTATCTGGATAAGATGTGCTATATATATTCAACTGAAAAGCTGAATATCAAATATAACTGTTTACAAGTCTGCTCACCAATATATTAACATTCAAAGATGTTATTCCTACTTAAAGGCTTTGTTGCTCACCAGTACTTTGGGCACTTTAATTAACTTATGACTTAATTATTGCAGTAAAGCATTCATTCCAATTATATAAGGCATTTTTATCTTTCAGTTAAATAAAAAAAAAAGTTGCATGCCATATGTAGTAGTCATAAACAATTCTATAAGTAAACAAAAAAATCACATGAATTTTGTATGCTGTTAATCAATCGAGTCCTTATATTATTAAAGGTTAATCAATACTGCCTGAGGAATGGTAAGAATTCAATTTGAATGCATATCAATGCACTCTTAATGGATATTACAACATATTTTTGATCAACATGGATTGATTGCAAACATAAAGCAACGATATATCATGGTAACAAATACCACATCTTTCAAAAAACAAGAATGTCGAACGACACATATACCCCCCTTTCTAGCCATTGACTCACATAATTGGTAATTTTATTACAGAAACTTGCCAAAAATGGGTACATGGAAGTGTTCAATTTTGGAAAAATCAACGAAAGCCATTTTGACATTAAAGGCCCCTGTGACCTTGACCTTTGACCTAGTGACCCCAAAATCAATAGGGGTCATCTACTAGTTATGACCAATCACTATGTGAAATATGAAGACTTTGTGATAAATACTTTTCAAGATAATCAGCGGAAACCATGTGGTCTACCGACGGACAGACCGACAGACAGACAGACCAGACCGACATTAGCAAAACAATATACCACCTCTTCTCCGAAGGGGGGCATAATAATTAATAAAGATTTTAAACTGAAGTCAAAAGAATTTGAAATAGAATGGGGTATAAATGAACAGTATGCAAATCGAATGTCAGGTAAGATCATTTTCATCTTACCTCAACATCTGAAAGCTGTCTCCTAAAATCATCATAGTCCTGATCAAAGTCTGTCTTTCTCTGATCCAACACATTATAGGGTTTCTTCTTTATGCTGGTGAAGATTTGCTGAAATCTTGAGCTGAAAGCTTCTAATCCTTCTATCTTTGACTCAGACAGAGAGCTGAATGTCTCAATATACTTGAGGAGTGTGATTATCTAGATATAAGGAAGTCGTAAACAATATGACAATGACATACTGAATATTAAGTCTTTACTGGAAACTTATATGAAAAAAATATATGTGCAAACACCATAAAGTTTTATCACTTTGATACTGTAAAATTTGAATGCTCCAGATAATTTTTCATGCCATTAGTTTGAAACTTCCTGATTTTTTTTCAGCAATTAGTTTTTTTTTTCACTACAAGATTTCAAATTCAATTTGTTCTTCTGGTTATTTTCAATTAGTTTTTTAGATTTTGTCTGAGGGTTATATGTAATTGGGTACTACATTTACCGTAAAATTCCTAATAAACGCCCCCGGGGGAAAGGGGGGCTATTATTACAACACAGTTTTTCCTAAATAAAAAAATCACTGTAAATACATTTAGTGTTAGCAAGTGTTGGTAAAGGTTTTAAAGTTCATATTATACATGTTTGTGTTTACTATAAAATACTATGGATTCTGAATAATTTGAATAAAAGTTAATGATGGCTTTAATTATGAGTTCAGCACTGATGAGTAGATTGTTTCCCTATCAAAAGGCCTGGGGGGGGGCCTTTATTAGGGGAGGGGCGTTGATAAGGAATTTTACGGTATTTTATAAAGCATCAGATAAGCAACTACACCATCGGCAATGAAAGTTTTCCATGACTCAAGTACCTTTTCTGAAATGTTTAGTCCATTATGTTTCACATTTTTTTTACAAAGAATGATGACAATATATTTTCTATTAACTCTGACTCAATTCCACGCACAATTTCCTCATTTGATTTTGCAGTTCTTTTAAAAAAAATTATCATAAAAAATATGCTGTTTGTTTTTTAGCTCATTCCGACCTCATTTTCACATTTTTCCCCGAGAGGTCACTCTTTGCACATGACAAGACTGTGCATAACTGTTTGCATAAGTGATGTTGTGGTATGTTATTACTCACAGTAAATAGTACAATCAGAAAACTATTTCTTTTTTATTTTCTGATTTTAAAATGATTGAAATTAAAAATCTTCATTTTTGAATGACAGCATTTGAAAATTAATTTTTTTTCGATGAAAATAATTTCCTAAAAATACTTATCTTGAGCTCTGAAAATATATTGTATTTTAATTATCTGAGCTCTGAAAATATATTGTACTTTAATTATCTTTTTTAATATGGTGTTAAACTTGTAAAAACTTTGATGATAGTTAAAGATAATATGATAATATTGCAAATTACTGCTTATTTCAATTCTTTTTTCTTCATTTATCATAAACAATAAATAGCACATAATGATACATAAATTTTTAATGTCTCCAAGTCTCTACATTCAATAATAGGACATTTAGTTGTCAAATAAATGAGTAAAAGTATAAAATGATGTAGTTATTATATTTACATGTAGATCACAATAGACAACTTTAGGTTTAGGTATGTAATGAAATAGTGTCACATTTCTGGCAAGAAACAATTATAAATAAATTACCTTCTCAAGCCTTTTGCAGAATGTTTCAAACTTTCCAAATATGTACATTTCTGAGAATTCAAATGGTTTTTGTCCAGGTGTTTTCTCAATTTTTTCCTTGGTTTTGTGGAATATGTCCTGATATGTTTTGTATAGCTTACAGCTGTTTTGCAATTTCTCTACAAGAGGTTTTCTGTCCATATCCCAGACACGCTCAGAGCTCCCACTGATGATGTACAGCTTGCATGCTGTTACCATTTGGTTTGTAATCTAAAATTATAATATCTGATGAATTGGATCTACCATCACAATGAGCAGAGTATCGAGTTTAATTCAAAATCAAATTCAAGAAAAGTAAATCACATTTTTCCTTTGTTGAATCTTAAGAAAGAAACATTTAAACAGCATTATCACACTTAACCTACCTTTATAAAGAGGGATGTCATCCTTTCAGATGTATTGTAGTATCTTGAGATACAGTGTATCATTCTAATGGCATTTATCAATCCTGGTAGAGAGTCTAGCATTGATACCTGTGTAAAAATATCTATTTTTAATAATTTAAATGTGCAATGTATTTCTTAAATCAATCAAGATATTACCTAAATCAACCTTTTAGGAAATGTAAGCATGTAATTCAACATGTCAGTTTTGTCTAAATTTAAGAATTCTTTTGTCCAAATATAAATCAAATCCATAAACAAGAAACATGGCAATGCCATGAAACCAGGTTTTCAATTATCACCATTGTAGATAAGCAACAAACAATGTAACTATGTGCAATGTAAAACATGAATAATGTAGGAGGAATTGCCACTGAAGAAGTGTTCACTATAATATTATGTATAAGGAAAAAAACAAAGGGCCATAATTAGGTCAAAAACTATCCAATCACAAAACCCCGACAATATGTGCCAGGCTGCTTGATGACAAAGCTTCTGTGAAAGTTTGAACAAAATCCGTTGAGAAATGTAGGACGAGTTCAGCACAGAAGAATTTGTTCACTATAATTATATTGATAATTCTGTATAATGAAAAACAAGTTACAAAGTAGACATGAAATAATATATCATATCTTTTTTAAATTACCTCCAAAGATGATATGACCTTTGACTGCCAAATCAAGTTAAAATCATGTAAACAGGATTTTCAATGTTAATGTCACTGTGACCTTGACCTTGGAGCCAGCCATGCGGAACATGCGTTCTGCACGTCATCTTGATGTGGTAAACATTTGTCTGAAGTTTCATCAAAATTCTTCAAAGGGTTGAAGAGTTACAGAGCGGACAGGATTTTCAATGTTAATGTCACTGTGACCTTGACCTTGGAGCCAGCCATGCGGAACATGCGTTCTGCACGTCATCTTGATGTGGTAAACATTTGTCTGAAGTTTCATCAAAATTCTTCAAAGGGTTGAAGAGTTACAGAGCGGACACAATTTCGTTTGACGCCCGAAGTTAAAATCATGTAAACAGGATTTTCAATGTTAATGTCACTGTGACCTTGACCTTGGAGCCAGCCATGCGGAACATGCGTTCTGCACGTCATCTTGATGTGGTAAACATTTGTCTGAAGTTTCATCAAAATTCTTCAAAGGGTTGAAGAGTTACAGAGCGGACAGGATTTTCAATGTTAATGTCACTGTGACCTTGACCTTGGAGCCAGCCATGCGGAACATGCGTTCTGCACGTCATCTTGATGTGGTAAACATTTGTCTGAAGTTTCATCAAAATTCTTCAAAGGGTTGAAGAGTTACAGAGCGGACACAATTTCGTTTGACGCCCGAAGTTAAAATCATGTAAACAGGATTTTCAATGTTAATGTCACTGTGACCTTGACCTTGGAGCCAGCCATGCGGAACATGCGTTCTGCACGTCATCTTGATGTGGTAAACATTTGTCTGAAGTTTCATCAAAATTCTTCAAAGGGTTGAAGAGTTACAGAGCGGACAGGATTTTCAATGTTAATGTCACTGTGACCTTGACCTTGGAGCCAGCCATGCGGAACATGCGTTCTGCACGTCATCTTGATGTGGTAAACATTTGTCTGAAGTTTCATCAAAATTCTTCAAAGGGTTGAAGAGTTACAGAGCGGACAGGATTTTCAATGTTAATGTCACTGTGACCTTGACCTTGGAGCCAGCCATGCGGAACATGCGTTCTGCACGTCATCTTGATGTGGTAAACATTTGTCTGAAGTTTCATCAAAATTATTCAAAGGGTTGAAGAGTTACAGAGCGGACACAATTTCGTTTGACGCCCGCCCATCCGCCCATCCGCCCAGCCGCCCATCCGCCCATCCGCCCATCCGCCCGCCATACCCCAATCTAATAACCAGGATTTTCAAAATTGAAAACCTGGTTAATAAAGTAGAGCTTGTCACAAATGCCTAATACCCCCGGCACACGCTTGTCGGAAAACATGCTTTTTGGTAGGGTTTCTTAATCGGACAAAAATCATAATCGATCATCGAAAATAATCGATTGTAACAACCCTTTTCGATCAATCATCGATTATATAATCCAAACATTTACAATAACAAAGTTAATATGTACAATGTACATACCATGCTTTATACTTATAAGAATTACATTAATATTCTATATTTTGTGTAACTATGACACTTAATCAACAGAAATAAACTAGTTACTTGTGCTATGTTCATCCTGAGTAAAATATTTTAATCAAATTAATTCATTAAAATCTATGAAATTATTACGTCTCAATTCCAATAAAGGAATGAATTCATAAACTATGTATGAGAACAAGAGAAGTTGGTCATTTCCTAACAAAACTGCCAGTTTTTTTAATGACACTATATATTGATATTGTAACCATCTTTAGTGCGTAGAATAATTTTATACATATCTTCTTTGTTTGAAGTCAAAACATGTTTATTTCATATCTGCAAATAGAGTGTGTAGCAATTTTCTAATGTCAAATTTGAGCATAGTATGTCTTTAAACTAGAATGCCTCACTGTCAACTATAATTAATCTCATGGTCACCAGTATGCTTTCTCATTAATTTTAATACCAACAAGCTAGGCGGAGCATTATATGCCCGAAAGTACTTTTTCTTTTAGTAAGGATGAAGCATTTGTAAGACATGGGAATTAAATAAAGTATTCCCTCCTTCAAAAAGCAATCCTCCTTCATAGCTGAAGAACCTTCATGTATATATACAGTTGCTGTTTTCAAAGCACCAACATCAAGTAGTTATCTTGTAAGTAAAAATGCTACAACGGATGGACGAAAAGACGTCAGGGGTATAAAGCTGTTAATCCAAACTAGAACTGCCACTATCATGGCGTGAATACCCCCGCATACCACTTTGTCAGAATCAACAGTGGCCATTTAGAGCTCAAGGACAACCTCCCTGCCAAATCTGAGGTTACTAAGCCAGTGCATTGCTAAGTTATGTATTCTACATGCTTCAAATGTGAAAATGTCAAAATCAATACATTGCGGACAGGACATTCTTTAGCAATTGAGAAGAAAAGTTTTTTTTTGTCAAGGTCCCTGTGACCTTGACCTTTGACCCAGTGACCTCAAAATCAATAGGGGTCACCTTATAGTCATGATCAACATCCATGCCAAATATGAAGACTGTGGGTCAAAGGAATCTAAAGTTATTGGGCGGACAAACTTTTTGAAGTCAAAGCCCCTTTGACCTTGACCTTTTACCTGGTGACCTCAAAATCAATAGGGGTCATCTACTAATCATGACTAACCTCCATGCCAAATATGAAGACTGTGGGTAAAAGGAATCTTAAGTTATTGTGCGGACAAGCTTTTTGAAGTCAAGGCCCCTGTGACCTTGACCTTTGACCTGGTGACCTCAAAGTCAATAGGGGTCATCTACTTATCATGACTAGCCTCCATGCCAAATACTGTGGGTCAAAGGAATCTTAAGTTATTGGGCGGACATGCTTTTTGAAGTCAAGGCCCCTGTGACCTTGACCTTTGACCTGGTGACCTCAAAGTCAATAGGGGTCATCTGCTAATCATGACTTGCCTCCATGCCAAATATGAAGACTCTGGGTCAAAGGAATCTTAAGTTATTGGGCGGACAAGCTTTTTGAAGTCAAGGCCCCTGTGACCTTGACCTTTGACCTGGTGACCTCAAAATCAATAGGGGTCATCTACTAATCATGACTTACCTCCATGCTAAATATGAAGACTGTGGGTCAAATGAATCTTAAGTTATTGGGCTGACAAGCTTTTTGAAGTCAAGGCCCCTGTGACCTTGACCTTTGACCTCAAAATCAATAGGGGTCATCTACTTATCATGACTTACCTCCATGCCAAATATGAAGACTGTGGGTCAAAGGAATCTTAAGTTATTGGGCGGACAAGAAAAAAACGATGGACAGCCGGACGGCCATCCAGCCGGACGGACAAGCTGATTCCAGTATACCCCCCTTACAACTTTGTTGTGCGGGGGTATAAAAATTTTACAGCTGTAGGTTGATTAATACTTGAGTTATGGAACTTAAGTTATGCTCCGGAAACCATTTTCAGTTTTAGGGTAATAGTGACCTTGACCCAAAGGTCAAGGTCACTATTACCCTAAAACTGAAAATGGTCAAAACCTTTAGACCCAAAAATCAATAGGGGTCTTTTACCCAATATGGACAATCATCCTATGAAGTTTGAATACTGTGGGCCAAATGTAACTTAAGTTATGCTCCGGAAACCAAATTGCTAACGGACGGACACCAGGGGGTATAACATAATATGCCCGAAATTCTTTCAGGCATATAAAAATCTACCTTGTCAGGATTATACTGTGTAAAACCAGCTAAATGACAAGTTTTGTTAACTTATGATACTTACAGGGTCTTGTCTGTAAAGGGGATCACAGTATTTTTCAATTGTGTAAAGATATTTCACATTATCCTTTGCTTCATTTGCACTGTCTGTGATCCTTTTATCCAATTCTTTCCATTTCTAAAGTAAACAAATTATGATATAACCATAATGGTAATCAAATGGTCATCAGCCTCATCACAATCAAAGTTACATTAATTCTCTGAGAAACTTATTTGGACTTTGAGACATGTCTAGGGTAAACTTGTAGGCATTTATGGCAATGATCTGACAGTTTTTATTACCATATCAACCAGACTGTTGACAAAAGGAAGAAATACATGCAAAATCTCCATTCAGCTACTTATTCACACATAAAGTTTCATCACTTTGCATAAAAGTCAATGGTTTCAAATTGTAGTAAAAGACTTCCAGACAGACAAACAGAGGGAAACATGTTCATCCACACCAGCAAAGTACTAAAAATGACATTTGAGGAAATGATAAATAAAGAACTGTCACTATCTCTCTATAACACCACCTGTTTTTCATGCCAATTTGAAATACAGGTCATGTGATGCCATGGGATAGGTCCTGGGGGGTAGCCTTCAATTTTTTGTCAAGTCCTGTGAAAACTAAAAGAGGGTCTGCTATGTTGTAGAACTGCCCAGAACAAGAACACTATTATAACAGTAGCCTATTTAAATTGTCATAAAATCCATGGAATAACAAACTAACCCCTTTCTTTGTTGATATGAAAAAATATATACAACAGAAGCAGGAAATACCTTCATTACTCTGGATTTACCAATATGTACAATATTGATGACCATTCTACATTTGGTGGACTTGATCTGGTCCAAGAGAGCATTGAAGCGTGCAGTAAGTTGCCTCCAATGGTCCAACTCTGCTATAGGACCAGTATCATCTGCTTCTTTACGCATTTGATCACTCTCTGCCAAGATCTGTGCAGTGTAATATTTCATCAGGGGTATGAGTCAATATTTCAAATTGTATATTTATCCTTCTTTATTAATTTAAAAATGTTTAAACATCATTGAAGATAATTAGTAGTTGAAAACTGAACAACTGTTAACTGTAACTGATGACAAAATATATGCAGACTGCTTACAAAATCTGAAGACACCTTTACATAAAGAGAATTCACATTATCTTTTTTTCTTAATTAACACTTAATAGACAAGGATGCTGCTTGCAATTCATGACTTTTTTATTTGTCTTTAATAAGTAAAACTAAACTAAAACAATTAAATCATTTAAGATAGATAAATGTGTTCTTTAAATATTAGAAACTTAATTCTTTGTAAGGATTTTAAATTCAATAGAAAAAAGTACCTGTTCAATCTGCCTGCACCACTGAAAAGTCAGATCCTCCATATCACTTACAATATCAGGATTTGAAGCCAGACTTATACACTCATTAAAGTCCTTCAATGCATCCAGGTTCAGCTTGTCACCAGTATAGTCAACTAATCTAACACCCTCACCAGCATTTGCTTGAGCACCTTTATTATAAGTTTGATACTTTTGAATTTTAATGTAAGTATAGTGAAATGTTTCAAGATCCTTAGAATATAAACACATGTGTAGTTAAATTTAAAGTCTTTGTTTATATGATATTTCAATTCAAATTTGTACATTTTATATATTTTGTTGACAACATGCTGTTGTAGGAAAGACAATGTATAAAAATATTAATAGGCTCAATTGGAAAAGAAAAAATAACAAAGAAAACAAGTTATTGATTGGACAAGAATTTTACAACAAGAGTGCCAGGATGGCCCGGAAATCGCTCATATGAATATAGAAACTCTTTATGACAAGCAACAAGTAATATTGTAAACTATTAACAAAAGCAGATACAAAATCTAAATCTTAAACTGATTTAGACCCCAGGGCTTCTATTTGAACAAACTTGGTAGACACTAACTAGGAGATGTTTCATGCTTGATATCAAAGCTCTAACTCTTCAAGTTTTTTAAAAGAAGAATTTTTATGTTTTTATAATTTACATATAAGGAAAATCAATAACCCCCCTTGAGCAGGGCTAATCTTAAGCCCAAGGCTTTTATTTGAACAAACTTGGTAATTATGCATTAAAAGAAGATTTATTTACAATATACATATAAGGAGTTCTGCCTGGAATTAAATTCTTTGAACAATTTTAAAAGGTGACCACCAAATGAACATTCCTGTGAAGTTTGGATGAAATTGGCTAAGCGGTTTATGAGGAGATGTCGTGAAAAGTAAAAGTTTAAGAAAGGATGGACAACGGAAGGACGCCGGACAACAGAGGGTCACTGGAAGAATTGTGATCACAACAGCTAACCTTGTCACTTTGTGACAGGTGAGCTAGAAATGTCACTGTGACCTTGACCAATGACTAAATAAACTTAAAATTGGCATGGGGGAATATCCCTACAAGTTACACAAATGACAACTTAAATTCTCTTCTCAAGTTATTGACAAGACCAGGATTTTACAATGATTGTCACTTATAATGACCTTTATCTTTGACTTGATAATTTCAAAATATATAGGGGTCATCTACTGACCACATCCTTACTAACTCTCACAAACTTTGGCTTATTTCTCTCAAGTTAATAATTGGACAACAATTTTGCATCAAGTGTCTCTGTGACATTGTCCTACTGACCACACAATCAATAGGGGTTATCTACTGTCAATTACCATCCTTCCTACTAAGTCATAATGTAGATAGCACATCTAATAGTTCCAAAATTCTTGAGCAGACATTGTTATGATGAACAGATGGACAAAAGCCATATCATTTTATAACTTTGGCCATATAAAAATACTGTAATGTAATGTACCTTGCAAGTAACCAACAAATCCTGATATAGTGTCGAGAAATTTTTGGATAGTTTTCCTTCCTTGTGGTGTTTCACTCAACTCTCCCCACTTATTATATCCATCCATCATTGGCAGAAAAATGTTCGCCATGACTGTTTCAAACATGGTCAGTATTCCCTCACAATCCCTTATGTCAAGCACACCAAAACTGACCTCCTATATCATGTTTTTATAAATCATTTTAAATCAATTGAAAAAATGGATCTCAATTACAATAATATAACATTTAAGTATAAAAACTAACTTAATCAAATTTTGATGATCTTTCAGGTTTCTATTTGATTGATAAAACTTTGGGGTAACCAATGTAAACTAAATCAAAGTTTTGAGACATTTTTTTGTTTAAAATTTTCCAAGTCAAACAAATTAAAAAGTTATCATGATATTTTCCATTGTCAGGGCCAAAACACCATTTTTGGGGAAGGGGCCTCAGCCTTTTTTCTTGGGGAAAATATGCATGATTTTGGCATACTTTGGGAAAAGGGGTCTCAAATTTAAAACAAATTTTTAAAATAGTAAGGCAAAATGCACTGGGAAATACTAATAAGGCAGTAAAAGACCTTAATTCAACACCATCATTTAATTTTGTTATAAATTCTATGGGAAATTCCAAAAGACTGGGGAATTTTGAGGACCAATTTGGGAAAAAAAGAGGCTAGTTTGGTTGGGAAAGCAGCCTATATTCGGCCTCTACAAAGAAGGTTTTTTTTGCCCTGATTGTTAAAGTAATGTTGTTATTTTAAGTATGTTTTTCTGATCAGGGTTGTCATTAACATTTTTTGCAGAAGGTTTGTTTTGAACTTGAGGCGGTCATTTCTGTCTTTATCATGCATAACAAAGAGTGTTTTCTTAATTTTGAGGCGGCCCATAATGCATTTGAGACAGGCATTTTGGCCTCCTGCCGCCTCTTAATGACAACCCTGCTGATGACATGTTAATTTCTATTAACCTGAATAAAATGCTTAATTTAGTTAATGTTACCCTCTTCTTCCTTAAACTCACAATCAAAACTTTTACTTTTCTGAGGAATGGTCCTGTTATTATATAACAAATGGACAAAAATTTGCAGCCAAAGCAAGAAATGGTAAAATATAATTTCAAATAAGCTGAATGAGATTTAAAATGACCAAAATTATTTTTACCTCTGCAACATTTTTAATGGTGAGATTTGTATCATTGTTTGTGCGGATAAAGTAACAACATACTCCAGAGAGTTTATCTCCAGTTCCACTAGTTACAAACAACCTGTTCACCAATGTTCCTTTAGGTGTACCGGATATAGTTCTTCCGCATTCTGAAAAAGTATAATTGATATATATCTGGAACCAAAGCAGGAAAATATTCAAACTGGATATAGTTCTTCCGCATTTTGAAAAAGTATAGTATAATTGATATATATATATCTGAAACCAAAGCAGGAAAATATTCGAACTACAGTCTAACTTGCCCATGCTACCACGTGTATTAAGCGACTTTTGTCTTAAACGACCACTTTAAATTCCCCCGATCATTTTCTCTCTACATCTTTAATGTATTAAGCGACTTTTGCTCAACGCGACCAGCAACCGCTAATTAGTCACCTAATTGAGATCAATCTTTTCATTAAACGACCACTTTTACCTATAAAGTAATTGTGTTTTTAGAGAACGCCACCTCGTAATGTCACAAGTGTCAACAATCAAAACACAACAAATAAACGTGTGAAAAACTCTATTTCCCAAACCGTATTAGCGTATGCAAATGAAGTAAATTATACCCGTGACGTATACTATCCAATAATATCGGATAAACAATGCAACGCTCCGCCCCTACTGAGATGGTGTATACGCTTCGCTTGTTGACATTTAGACTGCATTGAATTGACCTTGAACTTGATTAGCAATTAAATTAATCGTAACAATTAGATGTAGTTTGTTTATTTCAAATGAAAAAATGCACAACAGAAAACATCTTCAGTAATACGGTTTTCGTGTTGGAGACAAGGAAAAACAACGGAGAAGTTAAAAAACTCTGGAAAAAATGTCAAACATGTACGTAATTTGTCAATAAATATCAGAAAGTTATTTTTTACAATTGCATCCATTTAGATTATCGTAGCGTACTAATTATTCAACATTTATGTAAAAATGAAGTTGAAAAACATTCCCACTTTATAAGAAAGATGTCATTTATAAATTTTGACTTTTATATCATGCTGACAGCCTTAAGAGACCGTTTCATTAAGCGACCTTTTTGGGTGTTTCCCTTGCGCGGTCGCTTAATACACGTTTGACTGTATTTCAAAAATTACTGGATCTCCAAAACTGATAGTTAACTAAAGGCATATTCTTAATGTTCCTATTCAAAAATACAAGTGGATGCTATTTTTGTTAAAAACTACCTCCATTCATGATTGATCTGTGATCAGAAAATTACAGTGCCATAAATTACACAATGTTTATTCATTATTCCTAACAATGGCATTACAATTATATTATTATAGCTATTAAACACTCTTAACTGATATTAAAATAAAGCAGTTGTTGCTGCTGAGTTTTGTTATTCATGTAAATGTTCTCACCGTAGGGAAGGAGTTACAGTATCGCGTTTTTCGGTTACAGTATAGAATTTTTAGATGGAGGATTATTTGTTGGGAGAGGTAGGTGATTTTTATTCCCGTCCATACTACAAGTTAGTGTAGTTTCTAAAAGATGTTTTTGTGCTTTGCTTATTAGGAACAGAATCCGGTATCTAGTCATATATTTCTTCAGACCCTGCACCGCAGATTTATAGCTATATTGTCTCATAAATTTGCAGATTTGACAGTTTGAAAATTTGAATCGAGAGACCAACGCATTTTTCTGCAATTTCGACATTATTTATGCATGCCTAGAAAAAGTAAATCTGCAAAACGTTAGTCCTTTATGTTAGGAAACGTTTATAAAAGTAAATGACCAGTTGATCCTATTTTCCTGTTGGTAAAATGCGTTTGAAAAAATAAACAATGTTACAGTATAGAGCGAGGTAATTTGTGCAGGGTTACAGCATAGACCTAGCGATTTGTATCCAATTTCGTTACAGTTTATACCCAGATTTCGGTTACAGTTTAGACTTCGATATTTTCTATATAATTATACTAGGTAAAATGTATGAATGTTACATAGACTTTTAAATGGCACGATGGCTATTCGTCCGTCCGTCTGTCGTACACATGTGTGTGCAATCTTATCCGCTCAGTATAACTACTTGACTAAATATGATGAAATTTACATGACTTTCTACCAATTAAGTTGTTCAAATGGTTTCGGTTGCAATCGGGGATACGAAAACCCAAAACATAGATTTTGAAAAAAGGCAATGTTTAAAGACCCTTCTCATCTTGAACCAAAAGCATTCAGTTTAAATCATGATCATGGCCTCATTTCGAATGCTTCTTTGTTGAAGTTACGATTACGAGGTACGTTCAAAAAGTTCGTGGATTTTTGCTGTTATTTTTTACTTGGTTCATAAAAACACCCTTAGTTGATATGAATTGAAAGAGTGTCTTTATTTCTACAAGTTAGATTAACTTTTATTGAAAACTTTTTATTCCTTTACGAGCTATGTGCACTTTAATAACCATGGCAACGCAACATCGGCGCACGCCGAAATTTTCATATAATTTTTAGATATAAACAAATGTTGAAATAAACTGAATGGTTGTTTTATGAAGTAAACTACAAGTAATCATCTATTAATATTTAAATGACATAAATCTGAAGTTTGACGTCGTTTGAACGTTGAATGGCTGAACAAACAGGTCTTGAGCAGCAGTAGACAGACGGGTAAGTTGGGAAGTATAAAGCCCGTTTAAAAACTAAAAATTCGCTCTTTCGGAAATTTTTACCAATAAATGTGGGATACTCCTTCATATTTTTATTAGGTGATTAAATTAACGAAAAACAATGAGTTGGCGAGCAAGCTTCTCGGTTTCAGGTCGCGCAAGCAATTCAAAGACGGCAAATACATGCTAACAGACAGAAAGGGCTAGGGAGAAATTTTAACGGCAAATTGTTTGGACGTTTGTAACGTCAACTGCAAAAGATCTACAGAAATCCAGACAGTATGAAAGGTTTGCGAGATGTCCGACATATTTAATTTCTGCATTGGATCTATGCATTCAATTCTGACAAAACAATTTAATTTAATTAAAATAATATTTTATTTCATTCATCAGAATATATGCGTATTCACAATAAATAATTGTCGTTATTATTTGTATTTACCCTGGTCCGTTTGATAATTAATGCTAGCCGGTGTTCAGTAGATTTACCGCATATAATAATTGTAAATTGATAAAATATATTTCTTTATAATTGATAATCATATTGTTTAAAGATCCGACGAGGGCGGTTTCAAATTGATACTATAAATCAACAATTTAATTAACTTAATAACAGTGTCCGTTAAGTGTCGAGATTACTCAAAAATCCCGATAAAAAGCGGAAAGTATGCGGCACTCGGACCTTTATACGGAGAATGGAGCAAAAAGATGACCACTTTATATCTCGGGTCATCATCACAAACAGAAAAATGGTTTTGGTATATGATCCGCAGATATTGAACACTAAAAAGAGTACTCTCAGAAACATTGACACTGGTAAAATGTTTCATTTATATTGCGACGTCACGAACGTCATTCTGTTTCATCATCAGCGCGCGCCGGATTGTGCACCCCTTGTGATTTGTAACTGTCACAGAATTGTTATTTGTAAATATATTGTATTGATTTTTTCACTGTTTATTAATGACATATTTCCATATCTGTCTCTTGTAAAATCATAAACGCAAATTAAAAGATGTGAACAGTAGAGCCGAAGTCCACGAACTTTTTGAACAGCCCTCGTATTTTGTCATTATTAAATTAAAAGTCGTTTTTTTTTTTATTTCAGACATCAGTTTTTATATTTCTGAAAAAGAAAATAATATTGAAAGTTATAGAGTATAAATTAAGGTCAGACAATTACAATATCTTCTCTAGCGATGGAGGTACATAATAGCGACAGTGTCGGGATAAGGCCGTCGACTTCAAATTATCTTTCATTTACTGCTGTAGTTGAAATCCAATCATGACTTTGGATTCTTTGTATGTGAGGAATCTATTAAGCTAATTTACGGAAGGTCGGTGGTTCTAGCCAGGCGCTCGTGTCTGAAATGTTTCACAAAGGGTATCTGGGGTCTTTCTTTACACTAAAACAGGAATGTTTTCACATGACCTCAGTGTTGTTGAAACTTTAAATCCAAGAAATCCAAACGTAACAAAATAGAGTTAAACAGGATCCCTAAAGAAATTCCAACACAACAAAATTGAAAATGTTCATAAACCCTTTTAAATACTTACAAAATACATTATGGTAGATGGAAATTCCAACTTAAAATAGAATTTAAGGTTGCAGTACTGCTCACTTAATTACTGTTTAATCATTCTTAGGGTATTGCCTGATTGTTAATTGTGTCTTTTGACAGCTTATCTATGGTATGCAGTAAGGGTGTAACGGTTTACAGGTATACCGATATATTGCAATATGAAAAAACAAATTTAATACCACGGTACGATTTTTGGAAAACCGGTATTTTATCAAAATCATATTTTTCAATTAATTGCCTTCTAATTTTGTACAAATTTCACATACAATCTTTAATTGGCGAATTTGTTGGCGCCAACGTAAGATAAAAGTATCCGACAACTAGTACACTTAAAAGTCAATAAGCGGCCGCATAATTTACATTAGCGGCCCAGATGTGAAAGGCCACACGCGATTAGTTTTGTTTATCAAATTGTGTGACACTTTACTTCCTATTTATTCCTTACATTTTTATTAAGTTTCTACTAAAAATATATACACATAATAATAATATATAAATGTTACTCCATCTTTACATCAAAACATATACATGACAATACGTATTGCAATATATTGCAATATGCTTCAGCTAAATGGCAATATATTGCAATACGGTTTTTGCTGTATTGTTACACCCCTAGTATGCAGGCTTCATAAGCGCCGATCCCCTCTCAAAATTTCATTTTGTTTAGTTTTACTCATTGTATTCTCGTTTATGGCACACGCAATTTTTAACCTGGGGGGTAATATGCCGCTTTTCATAGAATGGCAATAATGTGTCACATTGAAGGTTCCATGATAACCGCCATATGAACACATCCACAGATGTTAAAAAATCTGAAGTGTACCAGTTTCTGTTTAATGTGAATTCTGCTGAAGCCGGTACTAGGAGGCGTGAACGGTAGCTTGCAGTTACCACTACCGTCCATGA